TTACACCGATCACTGAACTTACACGTAAAGGGACTCCTTTTCAGTGGTCCAATAAGGCTGACACTGCATTTTCCAGATTAAAGACTCAGTTTACATCTGCCCCTATCTTGGTACATCCTCAGCCAGAATTGCCATTTACTGTAGAGGTAGATGCTTCTGATTCAGCTGTTGGGGCTATACTATCTCAAAGGACTGGACCTAAGATGTTGTTACATCCATGTGCCTTCTATTCCCGCCAGATGTTACCAGCAGAAAGAAATTATGACATAGGGAATAAAGAACTTTTGGCTATAAAAGCTGCCTTCACCGAATGGAGACATCTCTTGGAGGGAGCCACCCATCCAATTACTGTCCTCACAGATCACAAAATCTGGAATGTATCCAATCCGCTAAGAGACTGTCAGCCAGACAAGCACGCTGGTCCCTATTTTTCTCAAGGTTTAATTTTTTTATTTCATACCGCCCTGGTTCCAGAAATGGCAAGGCGGATGCCTTGTCTAGGATAGCTAACCCCCTCCATACTACAGTAACCAAGGCCACCATCTTGCCAGAGAGCAGATTTTTAGGAGTTACCTTTCCTTCTGATCTAATGTCTCGCATTAAAAAGGGCTACTCTAAAGATCCAGTTTTTCGTGATCCTCCTCGTGATCTTCATATGACCATGCCTAATGGGTTTTGGATTTTTCAACAACGTCTGTTTGTTCCAGAATCAGTGCGACTGGACGTTTTACGCCTCTACCATGACTCTAAACCAGCAGGTCATCCAGGAATCCAAAAGACACAAGAACTACTTACCCGATCCTTTTGGTGGCCTAAATATTATGAGGATGTTAAGAAGTATGTCCTCTTGTGATGTATGTGCCAGACATAAGACTCCTCGCTCATCCCCTGTTGGCTTGCTTCAGCCTCTTCCGATTCCTCATCGTCCCTGGGGATCTATATCCATGGACTTTATTGTGGAACTACCTCCCTCTAAGGTACACACTACTATTCTTGTTGTTGTGGACCGGTTAACCAAGATGAGTCATTTCATACCAGCTCGTGGTCTCCCTTCAGCTAAACAGACTGCTGACCTTGTTATTCAGGAAATATTTCGCTTGCATGGAGTGCCTGATGAAGTAATTTCTGACAGGGGAGTGCAGTTTACATCTCATTTTTGGAAATATTTTTGTTCTATTCTAGGTATTAATGTAAATCTGTCTTCAGCTTTTCATCCACAAAGTAATGGACAGACTGAGCGAACCAACCAGACTTTAGAACAATATTTGTGGTGCTATATTAGTTACCTGCAGGATGACTGGCTGGATTTTCTACCCACGGCGGAGTTTGCCTATAACAATGCCTAACACTGCTCCACTTCTCTGAGCCCATTTTTTGCCAATTATGGTTACCATCCAACCTTTCTAGTGAGTCTCCCAATTACTACTCCCATTCCTGCAGTCACTGACCGGCTAACCGACTTACGAGATTCCCAAGAACTGTTGAAGGAGACTCTTTCGGAGGCTCAGGAATGTTACAAAAGAGCTGCTGATAGGCACAGAAAGGAGGCCCCAGTTTGTCATGTTGGTGACAAGGTTTGGCTGTCAACAAAGAATCTTAAGCTTAGGATTCCTTCTCATAAATTGGGTCAAAAGTTCATGGGACCTTTTAAGATAATCGCTCAGATCAATGCAGTCACCTTCCGTCTGCAACTTCCGGATTCCATGATAATACATCCGGTGTTTCACGTGGCACTGCTTAAACCTTTTCGTGAAAATACTTTCCCTGGTCGAGCCTTGCCTGCCCCACCACCAGTCCTCGTGGATGGGGAAGATGAATACGAGGTGGAAAAAATTCTTGACTCCAGGATCTTCCGCAACAAACTTCAATACTTGGTTCATTGGAAAGGCTATGGTGAGGAGGATAGATCATGGGAACCAGTAGACAATATTCATGCTCCTGATCTTCTTCAGTCTTTCCATGCACAGTACCCTGCTAAACCAGGAAATAGGGCATCCAGAGGCTGCGCCTGTAAAGGTGGAGGTAATGTGAGGAACTGACTCTGCTGGGTTTCGAACCCTGGTTTACATGATGCTAAACCTTTTCATTACCAGTACACCAGCCTGCCTTTTGCAAATTTACCTGAGATCTGATACTATTGCTTGTAGAGTCAAGGTTATCAGTGACAACTCACTTCAGCTGTGTCTAGTCAGGTGTCTGGTTCTTGGCCTATAAAAGCCACTTCCTGTCTCTGTACCTTTGCCAGATTATTGTGGTTCCTGTACTCTCTAATCCAGCGTGTTCCTGTTTCTCCTTACTGTTGCTGAATTTGGACTGTTTTTGACTTTGCTGCTTCTCCTTCCCACTGACCTCGGCTTGCCTCACTACGATTATCATCTTTCTGTTCCAGTCTCCCATCTCTGCTTAAGACCAGAAGGCCACTCAAGGCTCAGGGGCTCAACCACCTGGGTAACGAGTGGCTACCTCTGGCAGAAAACATTGCTGATCTGGCTACTGGACTCCAAAACTTTGTAACATCAATATCATTACACCTATATACACTCACACACATACACACACAATCTGCTATACACACTCTGGGTCCTTTACACACTAGATTCCCTACACACATAATGCACCACCTACACACACTACATTCCTGACACTCTCGTTACATCCCCTATACACACTATACCCCCTATACAAACACTCTCTACAGCCCCTAGCCACACATATTACACCACAAACATGAATGAGGCAAGATAATAATCTACTCTTAGTTTTTGCTCTCTGTCAGAGTTCTCATATCCTCTCTTTTGTTAAAACCATCCTGAATACCTTGATTGATTTTTCTTGATCTCGCCAATCCTATAAAACAAAACAAAGCACGCTTATAACCCTAAAAGCATTTCAACAAATGCCTTAGAGCTATATTGAGTTCCTTTAAAAATAAAACACCTTGCATACTATATGGCAGAATTAACACAAAGTCTATGCACATATTGACACTGACTCATATGGTACGATACAAGTATACAAGTTGCCGTCAGTTTGTGATGTCCCACGCATGTGAATGCACCTCGATATTTTTACCCCTAAAGTTGTGCTCTTAAATGGGCATCTGACTTGCATGTATTGCATCATGGGATACTATAGATTTGCATTGGATGCCAGGCAGCAGTGGGAGAGCAATGTACATGACATTTATTAATCTAACTATATATTTTTTTTTTTAAATAATGAGTACAATTTCAAAACCGTTCTGTAAATAGAAACATAGAAAATAATGAAGCCCATGAAAATGAAATGAAGATTTGAGATCCTTTCTTGTCTTTAAGGATGATCTCTTTGTTAACTTTATAAAAAGTAACATGTAGTCTGGGCACGTTCCTCACACTACATGCTCCTTTTATTAGACCAGAGTGGGAATGGCCATCATTTGAATGCAAGAGTGCAGGTTTTTTAACCAATCATAAATGACAATTCCTTATTTCTTCTCCCCAGTGAACAGTATCAAATTAGTTTCAAGGAGAAATACAGTAGAGGTAAGTAAAAAAAACTTAACATACTCACCTCTGAAGCAGACCATTGTTTAGGGACACATCAGCTCCTCATCCCTTCCTTAGTGCCGTACACACACATGCACCCATATAAAGGGCCCTGTGAGAGTCCCAGGTAGTGTGTTCTGGTGCTAAGGATAATTCAATATGTTCTTTTTAATTTCATGGAAGGATTAATTTGGAGTTTATATGGGCAGCACCTGTGTTCCTTCGTCATTAAAGTAGAAAGCTGGCTGAAGGTAATTTTATGCTGGTTTGAGATTGACGGTCGATTTCTGTTACCTGCAATAATACTGTCTTTCCCTGAAAATAAGGCCGGGTCTTGCACTAGGGCTTATTTTCGGAGGATGTCTTATTTCTAGGTAAAACAGTAGCAAGCATGTGCTAGAAAGGAGGTCTACGTTCGGGGGAATTCCCTCGAATATAGACCAATTCCAAGGCATGGAATCCCGCAAATCTATGTTCGGGGAAAATTCTACTAGCTACTAAGGCTTATTTTCTGGGTAGGGCTTATAGTACAAGCATCCCCTGAAAATTCACTAAGGCTTATTTTCAGGGGATGTCTTATTTTTGGGGAAACATGGTAATCAAGGAAGCATAGGACGTCTCACAATATCAGTACAGCTAGTGTGTTTCACAAACCATACAAAGTGAAACTCAAATTGTGTTTAAAGAGGGGAGAACGTTTCTTGTTGTGTAACTAGAATGCTGGAGTTTCCCAATATTGGAAGGTATGAGACTGGGAGGCTCATGATAGGAGGTCCTGCCCAATGAAGGACCTGTCTGGCCGTCCCCTAACCTAAGGGATCATGCAGGGAGCACTGCTGATCTGCTCTCTGCATGGTCCTATTTCCTACTCACAGCACAAACTCGTCCCATGACGCACTCATCGTGTGCTACCCAAGGCGTATCCATATTTGTGACACAAGGGTACAAACAGGACCAACAAATCGGGACTGTCCCACCAAAATTGGGATTGTTGGTATGCCTGAGTATGATTAATAATTGATTCCCTCACAGCCATCTTTGATGCTAATGGTGTCTTGGGAAAATGTCTTAGATTGCAGACTTTGTTTCAAGGGCATTTTTAGTCTATTTTGGTGAGGCCAAAATTCTGTGTTTGTCACTTGCATTCCCCACTGCGTATTTAAGAAAGGGGGTCTATGTGGTTTCCTCCAAATCTACATTCAGGGGAATCCCCTAATCCCTACCATGCCTGTGAAAAGAGAATATAGCCTGGTGCCGGTGTAAGGCAGCCAGTTTTATCTCTGATAACGTGTTTTCCTCAGGAATGAGTAACATACATATATATGTGATTATATACACATATCACATCATGTGACAAGAAATTAAATCAGTTAAAGCGGCACTGTCATGCCGAATTCTGTTTTTTTTTTAACCCCTCTCCCGCCTCCACTACATCCAATTGACTCACTAGTCACCCCCAAATGCCCCCAAGCCCCCCACATTACCTATTTTTTAATCCTTATTTTCTGCCCCAATCTATATTCAGGGCGCAGCCATCTTTGTGTGGGTAGATGAAGTCCCTGTGGGACACACTAGACAGACTGTGAGATTCCCGCACATGCCCAGTGAAACACCTGGACATGCAAACGGGAATTTCATCTATTCACTTATTCATCAGACAGACGAATGAGTGAATAGAAATATCAGCCGAACAAACAAACAAACACAATGTATCAGTGTATGTTTGTTCGTTCAGTTTATTACAAGGAGGGAGCTACCGGCGTGCAGCTCCCTCCTTGTAATATGTAAAGATAGAAGCGGCAGGGAGCAGTGCTCCCCACCACTTCATAAGCCTCCCCAGGTCCCCCTCTCACTCTATGGGGGTCAATATGACCCCCACAATAGCACAAGGGAGATTAAAATCTCCCAAATGCCCCTACTCGCTATACCGTGAGTAGGGGTATGTCCACTAAACAGTGAGCAGCCTGTGGCTGCTCACTGTAAAAAAAAACAAAAAACAAAAAACTATTGGCCCCCACCCCTAAACAGTGAGAATGAGGGGGGGCAGTACTCCCCCCCCCACCCCTGGGCGGCGGGTGGGGGCCATAATGAGGGGTGGAGACCTACTGCCCCCCCTACCCCCCCACCCCTGGGCGGCGGGTGGGGGCAATAATGAGGGGGGGAGACCTACTGCCCCCCCGGCCCCCACCCCTGGGCGGCGGGTGGGGGCCATGAAGATAATGAGGGGGGGGACCTACTGTCCTCCCCCCCCGGCCCCCACTCCTGGGCGGCGGGTGGGGGCCATAGTGAGAATGAGAGGGGGGCAGTACTCCCCCCCCGGCCCCCACCCCTGGGCGGCGGGTGGGGGCCATAGTGAGAATGAGGGGGGGGGACTTACTCCCCCCCCCGGCCCCCACCCCTGGGCGGCGGGTGGGGGCCATAATGAGAATGGGGGGGACCTACTGCCCCCCCC